TGGATAGTTTTCCAAGGAAAGCATTTTTGAGCACAATCCATGTCTTACAACATAACCATTTTCAACCCTACTAAACTCTATAGGATTTCCACAGAAAAACACAGTTGTTGTAACACTGGACTCACAAAGCTTTTCTTACCATGCTTGCAGATTACGGGATAAAAGGCATCAGGATAAATGCTCCCAGCCTGAAATGCAACTTGGTGGTTCAGTAATAACTGGGGAAAGGGTGGGAAAGGAAAAGGCATTAGAATGCTATTCCTCAGCACAAAACTGTATTTTACTGCCAGCATCAAAGATACATTCTAAATATCCAGAAAAATACAACTACTATCTTAGTTAAATACACCATGTGGTGCACAAAACCTTGTTGTTATTTTTCTGTGCTTAGGTTTATTAAATCTTGTTTCCCAAAGTCCTCTACTGATCCTTCTAATACAAGTGCTCGCGTAGAATATGACTAAAAAAGATGGGAAAACATGCAAGAAACCAAAGTATTTATATGCACACATTGGTATAATTGCTATATTTTTGTATTAATATTCAGAAGAAGTCACATTCTTTTCGATATAAAAGGTAAAAATACCATCTAGGCACAATATTGACACACATAATACTGAGAGTAATAAAGAAAGGTAAGCAGACAGAAAGAAAAACATTCAGAAGAAAAGTGTAYAAAATTAAGCAATAATACACTTCCTACCTGTCTATAATTAACACTCCCTTCATGCTTAAGGAAAAATTCCAGAGCTCTATGTGCTGAAAGACAATATGTTGAAGTGTTGATTTACAGGTATTGTGTCCAGGGCCATGTTTTGTTAGAAGTGCTATCAAAACCAGAAGACACCACATTTTTATACATAAGCCAAGTGCCATATGCACGAAACATGATTTCCACAGAATTATGTACCTGTGAGAGAGTGTTTTCACGCCTAGAGAGTTAATGTGCCGCTCTTTCTGCGGCACATCTTCAGTCTCTCTCTAATTCCCCGCTCCCAAGCTGACCAATCAAGCTGAAATCGCAGGGAATTGAACTCTCCATGTCCAGAAAGGGGCTACAGCAGTGAACTGACAGGACCACACCCAGCACATACAGAGTGCGGAACACAAAGTTCTAGATGTTCTGTAGTCAAGTTTCACTGTTGCCCTTAACAGTAAAAAAGGTACATTGGGAATCAATGTGGGTGAATAACAGTTTGATTAATTTTTAACACACATGAAAAGTACCAAAAATCTAAAGTCAGCACGGTAAATAACACTATTTATTCACTGAATTGGCAGATACTCTTACCATGAAAATGTTTATTTAGCTAGCATTAAAAGTGAATGAAAAGAACGGACATACTTTTTTTTAATGAGGTCTCCTCCTAATTAATATTAGAACCCAGGAATAATCTAACAATGCTAAAAATACCCAACATTGTCTCTAAAGCTATTTATAAAGATTGAATTTAATTTGTTCCTTACGAAAAAAAAAAAAAAAAAAACAAAAAAAAACCACGTCACAAAACCCCCCAAGAACTCCCCAACAAAACAAACAAACAAAAAACTCCCCCCATGAAATCCATAACAATCCCTTTCATTCTGGAATAAGATCTAGRCAAAACTGTGTGGTTTTGAAAGATCTTTAACTTTGAATTTTACCCAATAAYCTAAATCATCTTTATACAAATAAGTTAAGATATCTTAAAAACCAGTTTTGCACCCAAAAAGAAACAACAACAAACAACAAAATAATAAATAATAATCGAAAATTTTAAGGCTCAGACATTTCTACACACATCTCTAATTCCAGTGTGGGAGAGCTTCAGTTTAGCAGTTTGCTTTTTCTTCCTCACATCTCCCCCGCACTTCTCTCACTACTCAAGTGTGTGCCCAGATTCTACAACTCCATCTTTACMAGGAATTTTATGGCAGATTCACACAGTTCCATAGAGCCTCATAAGTCTGACAGGAACCCCTAGGCAAAGAGCTTTCCCAGAGGGAAAGCCTCCAGGCGTCGTCATGGCAAGTAGGACACAGCACAGCTCTGCCAAGCACACTGAACACAATCAACATTCTGAACAGGCAGAGCTTTTCACCATTTTAAAAGTACTTCCAAAAATCTGTCCAGGATCTCTTTGGTGCTGGTTTTGAGTGAGAGGAATTCCTTTCTACAGTTTGCTTTCCTGGAACACTCAGGATTGAGTGTTTGGATTTTGGAAATACTTTCATCTTATCGTCGTAGACTTGTATGTGCATAACAATGAGAGCACTCATTTTAGCAGTATCCGAGCTGATCACAGTTTAGTGTAACTTTCAGACAAATGGACAGAATTTGTTGTAAACTATGACCCAATAGTTCAGTGTACACACAACTCCTCAGACAACCAAGATCTTTAAATTTTATAAATGCAGGTTTGCTGCAATGTGCTCCCTTGATTAGAAAACAAATCACTGCTTTGGGACAGATCTGTAAGCTTGTTTCTCTTTGCAGATTTTTTTTGGCAAACRCTTTATTGAGGCAAATCTGTTGTTTGAAGTCCTCCGAAGCTCATACTCGGTAATTAGAGCCCAAGCTTGCAGAAATGTGCGCACTTGGCTAACCTCAGGCAAGCRTGACTTCTCCTACAGATTATTATGGGTTTCTCGACACATTGTTAGGAAAAGCAAATGGTTCCAGGATGCTAACCAAGGGTACAACACTCAGTAAGGGAACACATTCCAGTCTCAAACACCATGAATAATCCCAGCCTTTAACTTGTTCAAAGTTGCATTTATTCAGTACTTAATGTCTGAGAAAATTACCTGAAAAGAAGGAACATCCTATGTTTTACCATGTGTTTGAGCAATGGACTTAGAAACAAAAACAGAAGAAACAATTAAATTTTCAGTTATTACGAGTAGCTGTTTCAGAATAACCTCACACTGCTCATGTTTGTGCTTGCAATAACTGCGGAAGAAATCAGACTCTAAAAATAGCACAAGCAAACAAGAAATTCAAAACAGAAATACATCTCCATTTTTAAGTTCACTCAGTTCTCTCCTTCATGTTTTACAAACCTAGACTGTTCAGGCTACAGAGAGCAACCTACCAGAAAGAGACACTGAACAAAATTTTCATGATGTTAGTCACAGATACAAACACATTACAGAATTCTATCTCTTTGTGCAGGTATGGCATAATTAATACATGGTGATTTGAAAATAGAGCTATCCCAAATAACCCACGTTATTCTTTAGTTTAAATGGAGCAATCCCATGAATTGCCTAAAGCATTCCTTTTCTTTCTCCAAACCAAACCCTGTCTGCGTAGGACTCACAGACAAAAACATTCCAGTTACATAATGCCCGTGTTTTAGGAGATGGAAAAATACGTAGCCCAAGTCAATTCAAGCATTTTAGTTACAAAAACAGTAAAGTTTCAAACTCCAAAATCAAAGTACTCATTTATCCTATCTGTTATTCACATTTTTAAAATGCTGTAGACTGCTCATTACTTTTACAGTATTTCCTCTCTGCTTTCCAGCTGAATCTGAACTTACTTCTCTTGACAAGCAATTAAAAAAATAAGAAGATTTATTTTGAATATGTCTTACCTATTTCAACATGTGTTGAAATTCCACAAGGGATACATCTTGGACAGAAATGGTAGAGTATAACCAGCAAGACAGACCAAATCTTCAGACCAACCATGATGCTGGCTCCAACTGTGGTTTTGAGAAGCCTGGAGCAGTAGCACTGTGACCTTTGAAATGTAGGTTACGGAGCATGCCTTTTCTTTCACACATATTGCTGACACAGCAAGTAAACGACTGCTGAATTTGAAAGGCTATTTTATATCAATGCTTTTTTTAAATTGCAAATAAAGCAATTTATATAAAGAAAGAAATAACCTATGGGTATTCTCTCTATTTGAATTCTGTAGTATCTCTGGAATTTAAGCAGTGTAATCGGTGAATCATTGCACAGCAGCATTGAGATTTCTGTTAAGTACAACAGCATGGCAAAGAGCATCCTCTCATTCACGGTGTGCCTGCTTTAAAACAGCTACATCCCATTTCACAAAATAAATTAAACCCCATTGCCAAAATATTATTAATAGAAAGATGCTAGCTCCTGAGTTGAAGGTAATACAAATTCATCACTTTTGGTGAGCTGATAGGACATCGTACACTTAAGTCTGGGTCTTGTGATCTGTATTGAAAGTCCGGCTGAAATGTGGGGACTCATRGAAGTACCTCTGCCAAGTGTCCTGCTATGAACTTCTGGCTGCAGAGGCTGGGCACCCTGTGTTTCCCAGCCGCTCTTCAGGCAGGTGGCACAGCTACACCTGTCCCCAGGGAGATGGTGGCACCGGGGCAGGGGCTTTGCATGGCCCCTGTGCCAGAGAYTGACCAGCTCCCATGGGCTGGTGCTCCTGCAGTCAAGCACAAGTTAGCCTGGACAAGAGGATACTGAGAAGAGACCTTATCTCAGTCTCCAGCTTCCTCACGAAGGGAAGAGGAGGGGCAGGCACTGATCTTTGTGGTGATAGTGACAGAACCTGAGGGCATGGCATGAAGCTGCGTCAAGAGAGATTTGGGAAAGGTTCTTCACCTAGACGGTGGCTGGGCACTGGAACAGGCTCCCCAAGGAAGTGGTCAGACCACCAAGCCTGACAGAGTTCAAGAAATATTTGGACAACGCCCTCAGGTACATGGTGTGACTTCTGGGTGTCCTGTGCAGGGCCAGGAGTAAGAGCTTGGATGATCCCTGCGGGTTCCTTCCAGCACAGCATATTTTATAATTCTAAGCCTCCCCTCTCCTTGCAAAGCGGAGGTCTCGATGGGGCGCAAGAAACGAGGCTCCGGGAAGCAGAAGCTCCATCCCGCCCCCACTGCCCCCCAGTACACTCCACCGCTGGCCGAGTGCCACCCGCCACCGCCCCCACCGTGCCCCGCCACCGCCGCTCTGGCCCGGCCCCTCGGCAGCTCCTCCTCCGGGGCGGTGCGGGCGGGCCGTGCCGGGGCCCTGTCGCCGGAGCGCGGCCATGGCCACCCTGCTGCCGCGGGGCGCTGCTGCCGCCCGCCGCCGCCTCCTGCTGCGCCCCGCGCCGCTGTGCCCGGGGCCGGTGCGGGCCGCCAGCCGGACCCTGCCCGCCGCCCTGCTGCGCCGCGGCGCCCTGCTGGGCGGCCGATGGGTGGAGACGGCCGCCGCTTTCCCCGTGCAGGACCCGGCCAGCGGCGAGGAGCTGGGCCGGGTGTCCGACTGCGGSGTGGCCGAGGCGCGGGCGGCCGTTCGGGCTGCGCACGAAGCCGGCGCCGCCTGGGGCCGCCTCCCCGCCAAGGTGAGCGGCWGCGGGCGGTAGCGGCGAGGGGGCCCCGGGGCGGCCCGGCCCGGTCGGGTCCGGTCGGGTCTCCGGGGCCGCGCTTCCCCGTCCCTGCGTGCGGCAGCCTTGTCTCTCCCTCGTCCCAGGAGAGGAGCGTGCGCCTCCGCCGATGGTACGAGCTGATGGTGGAGAACAAGGAGGAGCTGGCGCGGATCATCACGGCCGAGAACGTGAGTGGGGAGGCGGGGGTGGGCACGGGCAATGCCCTGTGCTGGCACTCGCCATGGGAAACCCAGCACAGGCAGACGGACATCGAGTCAAGCTGACAGCCCTCAAGACTGTCCCTGCGCACTTCACCAGCTACCATGTCCTTCCGAATCACTTTGAGCATACTGTGCACTYACATTGCTCTGCTTAGGTCCGTGGATGACGTTCCAAACATTTCTCCTCCGGACATAAATAAAGTGTGTTGGTTTGATTACAGTAGTCCCTAACCAGCAGAAACCAGACCCACGTTGTGCTTCATAGCATGCAAAAGTGCTCATGTTTGTGACTGGGAAAAACCATACAAGTCTCCAAGTTGGATTCACAGTCTGCTTTGGTCTGTATCACTGAGTAGTCTGGRAGCTCACAAACTGGTGTCCTTTTGAATAAAATCTTGCTGGAGGATACTTCAGCAGTTTCTCTATGGTGTCACAGCTGCTAATGGTCATTCAGTCCACAGGATCAGACCTGGAGATAGTCCAAAGCAATACTCCCAACACAAATGACCCTGGCATAAACTTGTAACTGTTTTGCCATTATTTGTGTCTCTCTTCTGAGTGGTAATAGCATCTAACTCAGAGTTTGTGAATAAATGCATACTGTGTTTGCTATTCTTCTTCCTTGTCCTGGGCAGGTATGAATCCAGGCATAGCATACAAAATATTGACTATAAAATGGTATATTKTATCCACACAACTATTGCTGCTGCAATCATATAACCCGTTTTGGAGATCTCAGTGTATGTCATAGGGAGGGGAACATAAAGTACTCTGAAAAGAAGAGAAGCTCTGAAATGACTTGAATTTGTTTATATTGCTTCCATTTGCCACTTACAATGTATCTTTAATCTGATTTAATCGAAGGGGAAGCCTCTGAAAGAAGCGCAGGGTGAAATCATGTATTCAGCCTCATTTCTGGAGTGGTTTGCRGAGGAGGCACGGCGGATTTATGGTGATGTTATTCCAGCAGCCGCAAAAGACAGAAGAGTCCTGGTGCTGAAGCAGCCAGTAGGAGTGGCAGCCATTATAACCCCAGTAGGTATATCTGAGCTCTTCTCACGCATGAAAATTATTCTCAGCCCACAGCTTGAAATGTCACTTAATTCTGCAAAAACAGGAGGCAGAATTTTCATAGCTTTGRTTGTACTTTTTTCTTTCTTCCTAGTGGAATTTTCCCAGTGCTATGATTACCCGGAAGGTTGGTGCAGCTCTGGCAGCTGGCTGTACAGTGGTAGTGAAACCTGCAGAAGACACACCTTTATCAGCATTAGCTCTTGGGGAGGTGAGCTTTCAGTGCTAAGCTTTGCCTCAGCAATGGATTGACACTGTAAATGGGGAGGCRGATGGGCTTGGAAGGTAGCTCTGACCAGCTTCATATGTGAAAAAAGGACAAACTGTCTGATTTGATGCAGGTGTTGTAGTTAAATGAGAATCTTCGTACATTGCCTCTTATATGGACTAGAGCCTCAAAATGGATTGGGCCATTTTGGTACACAAAATATCCTTGTATCTTTCGGACAGTTGAACTGGAGCAAAACTGCTCTCGACGCTGTGGCACCTGTTCCTAGTTGTTCTAAGCCCTTTTGTCTTCCATTGACTTACAGACWGTTTTCTTCAAAAGAATGAACAGTCATTAAGTGGTGATTCCTCTTAAAAAATGCACTAATAGTGCAAATTCTGTTTTTCTTTTCTTGCAGCTTGCAAACCAGGCTGGAATCCCAGCAGGAGTGTATAATGTTGTCCCTTGTTCTAGACAACAGGCAGCAGCTGTAGGGGAGGTTCTATGCACTGATCCATTGGTATCCAAAATATCTTTTACTGGCTCAACAGCAACAGGAAAGGTACATATGTGAACAGAATATCCTTGAAGATTATTACTGTGGTTATACTAGAAAGGTAGGGGGAAAGTGTGCGCCTTTATACAGAGCCTTTTTGTGTGGCTACTGTATACAGATTGTCCAAATAATTGTGTATCTCTTGAGATACTGCTTATACATTTTAGTATCAGTACTTGACAGAAGGATGCTTGCCTGCAACTTCTTGGTAACTGCCCTTTATTAAAACTATAATGTGAACAGTTCTGTGAAAGATATCCTTGGTTTATATCATAAGGTGACAACTTACTAGTAAGAGCACTGAAATTGAGTTTCAAAGGTACTATTCAAGAATGGTGCCTCCAGTTGAGAGAAAGTATCAGAGCAGTGAGGCCCTGGAGTCTCTGCTCTCAGCCTTAGTCAAGAAACAATCTTGTTGCCGTCTCTAATTGAATCATTAAAACTGCGGTGTGGCTATAACATGACAGAATTTTCTGGTAGGGCTTTATGCAGAATGAAGACAAAATCTGGTATCAAGACAGATCATAATACCAAATTCTGTCAGATCTTGGAAAACTTTTGGAAGAGTAGTCAAGATTTTATTAGCAAAAAAGAACAAGCAAACAAAAAAAAGTGACAATATTAGTGTATAGAAGCTTGACCTGACCTTAAGTTGATCAAAATCTTTCTCTGCATTAGTTGTTGGCCAGAATTCCATCTTTAAAGATTTTAATAAAGGAAATTTGTTTTTGTCATAGGAGATGGTCTAACATTGTAGAGAAGATGCAAATTACTTCCTTGCCAGAGTTAATTTTTTGCTGCCTTGCACCCATGATTCCACTGTCCACATCTAGTGGAGGTACAGATATCTGTGTCTCCTCTGTTGCCTGCAGATCTTGCTGAARCATGCAGCTGGCACTGTGAAGAGAGTTTCCATGGAGCTTGGAGGACATGCTCCTTTTATCGTGTTTGACAGYGCCAACGTGGACCGTGCTGTCGCAGGAGCCCTTGCTTCCAAGTATAGAAACTCAGGGCAGGTGAGAACAATCTTTTTGTCCTTGTTTCTAGAAAATTAACAACTGGACATATAGTTTAAGCTCTAAATAAACTATTTTGTGTAAAAGGAAATCATAGAACACTKTATTGTGAAGAGAAAGATGCTGGGCTCACACATAGTTCTGGGCACTAAAGCCGATTACTGGCAAGTCTGAATAGCAAGACTGAAATCTCATATGTTTTCACAGCATACATGGTGGTCAGTAACATGACTGATAGAGAAGATGATRTTCACTAGGACTACCCTTTGCAAGAACTTGAGAAGTGATAAGGCATTTGTCATGTCCTTCGTTAACATTAACTACGGCTGTGAAAGACACAATCTTGCTTCAGTTTGTTAAGACAGTCACAGGTAGTTTTTTCCACAATGAGTAGCTTTAAAAAATTGATAGACAAGATTCAAGTGTGGGTTGCTTCAAATGCATTCCTTTAGAGTMAAAAAAAATTTAAGAGCATCGCTTTCCTGAACAGTCTGCTGAGAAGGGCTATGTCCAGCTTTACAGGTACGTGTGTACATGAAACTGATGAACTCCAGCTTTTGAGAAGCACCAGATTTTCAGAGGGCTTGGGAGGTCATTTGATGGGGAAAACTTTGCTTGAATAACTTAAGAAGACAGGAAGAAAGAAAGGAAATAAAAGGGGACAAGGATTGCTAAGGAATCAGATTGAACATGATATAAAAGGCACTTCTGCTGCTGTGGAAAAGGATAAGTAGCTGTTACTTTTCACATGCTGTAGCAATCAAAATAGGATGGAGTCAGTGCAAAGGGGTAGCACAAATAGATAGGCCATTGAAAGCAATTAGAAACAACTTCCAAGAAGAAAGCAAACTCAGCATCAAATAATATAAGAGTTAGAGGAAAAAAAACCCCATACCATTAAGTGGGATTTGAGTTTCTGCTGCTCAGTCCAACGTTCTGCAATTTAGTTAAAAGGTATTTTGTGCAGTTTCCGGACCTTGGTTGACCCATGTATCTGAGTCCACAAAACTCACAAAACATTTCCCCAGCGTAAGCAACCTAGCATTGTGACGTATTTCACACACCCACTGACAGCTAGTTGAAGTTGCATTTCTAAAATGAAATAGGTGGTGAAAGATATGGCATAGCTAGGTAACAGCTTAGGATGAGGGAAGAGAGGCAGGGGACATCAGTGTAGTAACCTGATTCTGTGGCATGAGGGTCAGAACACATTAATTGATAGATCAATTTCAATATAAACTACTGGGGTTTTGTCTTACTGTGTTTGTTTTCAGACCTGTGTTTGCACAAACCGTTTCCTGGTGCAAAAGGGAATTCATGATGAATTTGTGGAAAAGTTTGCTAAAGCTATAGAGAAAGAACTACATGTTGGAGATGGATTTGATGCAAAAACTACGCAAGGACCACTAATAAATGAAAAAGCAGTGGAGAAGGTATAAATAAATATTTAATTTTTAACATCTTAATTTTCTATGATCATAAAATAACTTTACATTTATGTTTCACTTTTTTCCAYTTGTTTTTATTAGAATAAATTTGCAGTGTGACTGAAGTTGTTCTGTCCCCCAAGTCTATGAGTGCACATAGACAAACAGATGTGGACAGTTCATGCATCATCCCTCTGTTTCCATTAAGGGAAAGAGAGGCCTCCTGTAGGAGAAACTGATGCCTCCTGTTAACTTCCTAGCTGTTCTCAAGACCATTCATTGAGAGAGCTGTATGGTGATCCTGCAGTTCTGAAGCACCGCCATTGACAATTGCTTTTGAAGAACAGTGTTACGTTTTGGAAAAAGCTAAGCATAATAATTAATTGGGGTTAAAAATGCCAGAATTCTGGATGTGGCAATCACTTGAAACTTCACATTCTGTTTTGGATGACTGGCAACTCCAGGATTTTTTTTTCAATCCTAATAAGTCACATCTTTTATAATACTTCACACCATTCCTAAGGTTAAATGTTACTAATTCAAATGTCTCCTAATTTTATGTAAGATACTACAGCTCAGTTGTATGCAGGCTTGGTTTGAATCCATCATACATGAATTCTGCCACCTTCTCTCTCGCTTTATAAAAGAATGGGAAAATATTCAGTTATTTGGGAGACAGGTCCTTGAATTTCTTTCCTTCATGCCTTCCCTTTGTGCATCACAAGTGTGCACATTCAACTATATATACAAATAAACAAGCACTATATAGTCACTTTCTGTAATTTATAGTATATAGTCACTTTCTGTAATTTCTGTCATATCAAAGGACAGCATTCTAGGTGGAAATAGCTACTTTGTTGTCTTTAGATGAATTGTATATATAGAGGGTAGGTAGAATTGTAGATACAGGAAAACATTCTTGCCAGTTCATCTTGAAAGATGTTTCTCTTTTCATAGCAGTCATGTACTTTTGTTTTCATAGTGCTTGATCACTGATACAAGATACAGTTTTTGGTCCTGCAAAGACTTTTTCTCACATTAGGTGTAGTCCTTTAATTTCAACAGAAAAATAGGCTGGTGGCCACACTCAGTTTAGCCCTCTGAAATTGTGTCAGACTGAGAGAAACAAGAATTGAAGAGAAATTAGATAATATTGCAAATGATCCTCTGCRAAGTGTAAACCTCTCTTCAAAATCTTCTCTTTAATATTGGAGACTGTTACTTCTTCAATGAGAAATGTATTATTGCTCATTCTTAAATGCTGGCTCTGTATGAACACCTCAGGTGGAGAAACACATTAAGGATGCGGTTTCTCAAGGAGCATCTGTTGTGACTGGAGGGAAACGACACAGCTTTGGGAAGAATTTCTTTGAGCCTACATTACTTAGTAACRTTACAACAAAAATGCTTTGCACCCAAGAGGAGACATTTGGCCCTTTAGCACCAGTTATCAAGTAAGATTATTAATTTTATAGATTAAAATTAACAATTAAACAATGAAAGATTATTTTGAATAAACAAGATTTGAAAGACAGTTTGCAAAATTTTTCTTTATGGTCACACAAGTCTTGTAAAAACTGGGGTACACATGTGAAAACATACTTTGGATATGTGGTTTATTTGTTTCTTTCTCTTGACCTGATTTTAGCATTTCTGCAGCTTTTTGAAAATTAAAGTATCTCAATAGTTAAAAAAGGGTAGATAGAAGCAAAATCTTCATCAGCTTCGTGAGCTGTGGTATGAAATAGGAGACAGCACTTCTGAGTATGTAATGTGATTTGCTGGTCCTAAGCTTAAAGCCTTCCCTGCTTTTATGCAGAGCAATTGGATGTGATGGAAGAATGTACATTTATGTTTCAGAGTTGAGAGTGCTGTCTAGTTGCCAAAATAGGTAGGCTAATCCATGTGAAGTAAATGGTTCAGCTACCATCCAGCTACCTGGGAGGATAAAGGCTACTTAACTACTTTACTACAGTTYAAATTAAGAGAAGAGGTAGACATTTTAGTGTTTCAAAATGAAAGTTAAATTAGATTTTTAGGAAAAATAAATTGACATTTTAATTCCTGATAAGACTAAYTCTTGTCAGTAAGTCAGACAGTAGGTTAATTGCAGGCCTCATTTTCATTTTTTTCTTTCTATTGACAGATTTGAGACTGAAGCAGAAGCTGTTGCTATAGCAAATGCAGCTAATGTGGGCCTAGCAGGTATGCCTCTCTGTCAGATAAGTTTATTTCTCGGGTTTTGTGAGCTTTAGTGTTATGGGCTGATGATTTTGAACGTGAGTAAGTCTCTTCTTCAGTCTTCTGCAATTGCTGTTACTGATTTTCATTCCTGTATCYCTTTATCAGGATATTTCTACTCCCAAGACCCAGCTCAGATCTGGAGAGTTGCGGAACAGCTGGAAGTTGGAATGGTTGGTGTTAATGAAGGCATAATCTCGTCAGTGGAGTGTCCTTTTGGTGGGGTAAAGGAGTCTGGCTTAGGGCGAGAAGGTTCAAAATACGGCATTGATGAATACTTAGAAATAAAATAYGTCTGCTTTGGAGGGTTATAAAAGCCTTCAGACAGCACAATCCCAGTGTCTTGGAAAACAGTGCTGTAGTTTTAATAAGCTTATTGAGCCAGAAATAYGAATGAATGCAACTTTTACCTTTAAAACTAATCAGCCCCGTCCTGTGTATGTAGAGATATTTACAGTATTCTGTGTTGCCAAATATTTTTACATGGTCTTTGTTTATAYATCCAGTTTTTCAGTAATGTGATCACAAGGTCCATTATTTTTAGTAATGAGTAGGGATGTACATTTATTATTCTTGGATTATCCCTGTGTAACTGGGAGAACTTGGAGACTTGTCATACTGAAATCAGATTGTTTCAGTATAGCAAAGGGAATTTGATCACCATTTTTTACTACCTTTAGTGTTTCAGTGTGAATATGGGAGGCTTTGGGATGGCAGACTCCCTTTAGAATTTTCTGCAAATACTCACACTTTCTAATGTGGTTATATGACCTTCTTTAGAAGCACGTGTCCTTTTTTTGTTTGTTTTTGGAGGGTTTGTTTGTTTGGTTGGGGCTTGTTTTGTTTTTCTTAAATTGTGGGAGAATCTGCTTCTTACAAAAGGTGAGGAATTGTTTTTAACTATATCTAGGCATTCACATAGCCAAATAGACAGCTTTTTCAGCATTGTTAATGCTGATTGCAGGGCTGCTGCCTGCTCAGCTTTAGGTTTTTGAGCAAAGAGATCCAATTTGTGCCTAACATGCCTAGGATGAAATATGGYCCTTGTTTGATGCCTGTTAGCCCCAGCAGTCCACAGAACAGGACAGTCCAGGAGAAAGAATTGCTGGCTTAGTGAGTAGCAGGAGGAAAATAGGATACTTACAGGAATAATTTGCAGAATTGTAAGAGGACACAGTAAGGGCTGTGTAAGAAGGCTCAGGTGGTGACATGATACAGGTGGTGACATGATACAGATTAACTCCCTCCCTTCCGTGAAAATACCAAGACTCTCCTTGGGTAGGACAGTCCCTGAGGTAAACGTTGCTCTGTGTCTAAAGGAACATTACTCACCCCCTTCAAGGAACAGATATCCATTTGTGTGGGCTTTGTGTCTTGAATTGGATTTGTGTTTATGGAGGTGAATGTCCATTAGGGAAGAAGGTTAAAAATTCTTTGAACATGGCTAATTTGTGACCTAATAAAGATTTAAATAGTGGTGGTTAGAGGTGAGACTTCAACACATCACCTCACTATTCTGTCATCATCAAAAGATGATGTAAGGCTTCCTTAGTATAAAATGAACAATGTTGTTTAAACATTATTTTAATAGCAGTCAAACAAAGCACTTAAAAATTTGCAATGTTAATTTGGTGAATAAATCAGCACTGCAGAAGTCAAGTGGAGTAAATTTTGTTTCTTACAAAATTATTTATTTATTTATTAAAAATAAATAAAAGAAGGCAACAGAGCCCTTCTTCCTATAGAGTAATGAATGTACCCTATGAAATGGAATATTTTAGGATGTTTTATCCCATCAGGCAAAGAGATACCAGGTAAAACAAGATGTGGAGATGGAGGGAAAAAGCTGGAACAGTTTCACAGGGTTTCTTTTAAAGCGCACATAGAGTAGCATTGATGGCTACTTCTTATTTTTAAGTATTTTTTTATGGTAGCATTTGTGTAGCAGTTGAGACCAGGTGGGAACACGTGATCTGTCAGTACTGTGTGCATCATGCCAACCAAAGGGCAGTTACTGCCCTTCAGTAATTTCCAATGCACCAAACCCGCACATTTGTGGTAGTGAGGACTTTGTACTGTTATCTATGCTCGTTGTGGAGAACACAAAAAGGATGGCCTATTCCTACACTAGTTGCATGAAATTTTCTTACAGCCAACTTCTAAGATTGCACTATTAATGTAGTAACAGTGGCTGAATTTGGGGAATACAGTGTTTTGGAAGAGGAGGCTGTTTGCCAGCCTTGGCTACCAAAGTGTTTATTTCTAATTGGAAACAGTAACTTGGAAGAAAAAGATGCAGGCATAGTTACAGGTATTGTACACCAGCAGAATATCTGCCACTAAAATTCCGGACCAGTTATGTCTACCTGTAAACTGCAGTATAAGGTCAAAATTAAAATAATCTTATTTACAGCTGTATGATGGTGCAGTATTTAATGYGAGTGTACTTCTTAGGACAGTGCAGTTGGAGGATAAATTCTTTAACCCTTACTCTCTTCACTGTGAAGTTACTGATCAGATGCATTGGTACATTTAATTCTTACTTTTTCTGAGAATAGCACTTTTAATGAGTGTTTACTTTTTTTTTAGCGAATAATATCTTTTACTATGCCTGATAACAAGCACAAACAATAATTAAAGATAATGTTTGTAAGAAACTTAAAAAGGACCTTTGTATAGATTGGATTATGGTTGGATTCCAGCATAATATTCTCACATCAATAAAGTCTACATCAGAATAATCAAAGTTGTCTTCATAGCTAAAGCTGTGATTCTTCAACAGAAGACTTACTTGAATTCTCATACCTCAGTTGTGTTGATTGCACTTGTGATAGTTTAGCAATTTCTAAATATTAAAAACTGTGATGAAAAAAATGTTTTCAGTTAATAAATAGATTCTGTGAAAGCACTGGATTTTGTGGTTTATTACCTTATTCAGTGATGAATTGACAAATTGACAGCAGCAGCCACATTAAGTTCAGTCTGTCAGATTTCCACAGATTTTGTTCTGACAATTTTATCASTGGGAAAGACAACACTTCTTTGAATCCATATGTTCTTGGTGTAAGATTTTGGTACCCCCAATTACAGTCCCTTGAATCTAAATCAAATAGGTGAGACTACTTGGGCATAATAATACACCATCAGTTGTTTTGTATGCCAGTCTTTTATGCTGAGTCAAACATTTTACCACAACATAAGTAGATCAGAGTGTCTTTMCTGCTTTTGTGATATGATTGCTTGCATAATTCTTCATTCATTAAGATTTAAAATAGAGTTTTGGGAGCTCTTCTATTTAGTTAATACACTCTTGAAGCCTGAGAAACTGTCTTTTAATTTCCAACTTGACACAGYCATGGCCAATTTCCATTTTTAAAGTTACTCCTTAAACAGCTGTTTGTCAAACCCGTCCCCTCCTTCTCTGTGTAACAAATTAAGAAACTATATTTACCTGTTCTGCTAGATAYTAACAACTTAGCTGTCTTAAAGAAGATTTAGGTATGATGCCCAGAAGCTCTAGGTTACATTTTAGCACTTGTTTAAAGAGTTTCCATATCAAAACTTCCTGCTTAGGTCCTTTCTAGAAGAACCATGAGAAGCTGGTGGTTTATTTAYTTTATCAGTGAGTGTCAAAACTGCTTAGCACAACTGGCTGAAGTTGTTTTGGAATTGTGCCAATTATCTTCTGTTGCACCATCTACTCACAGGGATGGGGGCAGGCTACTGCTATTACCAAAATACACCATGCAATAACAGAGGCAGACTCCATCCTTCAACAAAGGGCACGTGTATCTCATTTKCTCACTCAGCTGCTAGTATTCCCTTGTAATCCAGTGTGAATATATGAGGCAGCACCATGTATCCAAACAGACTTAAAAGTTGCTTTCATGGTACRTATGATTTTTTCCTTATGGAAAGACACTTGCACCTCATAGCACCCTTTTTTAATCACTATTTAGCACGAACTTAATACACAATGATGGAYGGGTTTTTCTTTTCCAGTTCAGAAACAAGCAGCATAACCTACCCCTCTCTAATAGCATATTTTGGGTTATATTGCAGACTTGTGTCTCTGATTACTGCTAAGCAGCCTTGCACTGACACTGACACTGACTTACACTGTCAAGTATGGAATCTTACAGAGTRAGCCACAAAACCTGTGAAACCATCACACTTGGTATGACAGCTAGTGATTACTTATAGCCAATTAAACCAAGTAAAGACAAGCATCACATGAAAACCTATTATGAGGTGCAGTAAATTATTTTGTTCCTGCTCTCTGATGTAATGAATTTTGCCACTTCTCTAGAAAAAKATGCTTCTCTCAGTAGGAAGGGAAGGAGTCAGCCACTGTACTGCTTATAAGTTTGAGTACAGACATAAGCTATGGTATACAACATATGTCTTACAAGCCTGGCCTGAATGTTGAGTCCAATACAGAATGCCATTCCTAAAAGAGTACCTGACAAATATCTAAAAGGAAAGACAAAACTTTATTAATAGTTACATAAATGTAATTTCAGCTCAGAAATGGTTCCAGTTACAATACAATAGCATTTGCAATAAATAACATTTTGTAGAAACAGATTCCTAATATAAATTCTGTAATAGCTCACCCATCCACCCACAGGGAGAAGTGCTTTCATACAGAGACAAAATACAGATGTGCAGCTCATCTGCACCTGATTCATAGCCTGTGCAAAAATCATTTGCCTTTGCTGCTTCCTTCTTAAAATTTTATTTCTAAACTTTATATTTCCCTCCTTTGCCTTGGGGAGTTCAGGACATAAAAGGTACATGAAATGGGTTTTTCTTTGCTGCAGAAATATGGGATTAGTATTCTAGTTMGGGATCTCACTAAGGAAAAACTGATGTTAAGAAATTCACCTCTATCCCATTGCCCTTCTCCTGGAGCAGTATTTTCCTCTCTCAAGYCTCACATGAATGGCAGAAGAGTGCACTTACTGTCATTTTATTACCACCATCTTGAATTTCCATCTGACTCCTGCCCATTACCAGTATACCGGGGGTAAAACTAGTTTCACTTGAGGTTAAAAGCAGGAAKAGAACATTTGCCTAAGAGCTCAATTATTTTAAGAACATCAGACTATTTAAGGAAAATTTGCACCAGCACAGAGAACACATGCATGCACTTGCTCTCTCACTGTTAAGTTCCTTGCATGTGTATGCACTTCTGTTTGCCCACAGGAGACCAAGAAAAGGAAAACTGACATCATATAAGCAAACAGCCAACAGCACAAAACAGATGCTTGCACAGTACTTGTATCTGATGCATCTGACAGAGAGGAAGACTATTTACCTCAAAGGACAGAGCTGATAATCTATTCTTACACACAAAACAAGAATAACCTTTTTTCCCCTATGCAAATAATCAATTCTCTGTAATTAGGCAGTTTGTATTTTGCTTTTTTTTTTTTTTTTTTTTTTTTT